TGTGGTTGACTCTTAACTTTTATAAAGAATATCTCTTTGGATTTGAGACTTTAGTCTTTGCAACTTTACAGATCTTCTTTATGCACCAAGAGCTTGTAACACTTCAAAGAGAAAGGAAAAAATTGAAATCGCATCATATGACCCCTTTAAAAAATCTGTTGAAATTGTCAAAATGGATGGGTTGCAACATGACTGTTTTGAAAGAGTTACAGTTCCAAATGAGACTTCTAGATTCATATCACCTCATAACTTGTTGTAAGGGGATGAATTAAGAACAGCAGGGTCACGGGTTGTCTCTGCAATTCAGCCTCACAATTCTGAAATAAATAGTATTTGCAGCATAAACAAACTAAAATGAAATGTACATGGTTTCCAATGTGTGTGCGTGTTATTACATACATCATCATCAACTAAATGTGTGTCATCGCAAGATTTTATACACAAGACAAGCTCTGCTATGACAGCTCTTTCATGTCCTCAATAAACAAAAACACAAGAGACTGCTTGAAAAATATCCAAAAACTATATTTTCATAATCTTCTATTTATTTACATGTCCCATCAGTCAAAACCTTATTTTATGAATCTAATATCTTAATGTGGTATGGTATCCACGTGAATAATGATTATTTATTAAATATTAAATCAATATTAAATCATAAAACTCTGGACTAAACAGCAGCCGCTGGCTTACACTGGTCACATTAACGTGTGTGTCTAAACGACCGATTTTACTTCCAAGTTTTAAGTAAGCATGCAAAGATAAAACAATACACCTTTACAAGGCTAGTTAACTGAAATGAAATGATCACCCGCACATACCTCTGCTGGACTTGAACTGTGGTCTCGCGCTGATGACGTAATATCCAGGTAGGCACGCCCACAGCGGTTTATGATTGGTCGATCGACAGGCTCAAATCTGATTGGCTAAAGAGTACGAGGGTCCCGCGTGGGAGGAGTTGGCTGGCAAGAAATTCGAGAAGCTACTCACTGCAGAGTAAATGGGTGGAGCTTACGTCTCGCTCCTCCTTGCTAGACGTCCAGCGAGGAGGAGCAAATGTAATTTGTGCCTAATGATTGGAGCTAGAATATCCAACCACACCCTAACCTTACCCACAACTCTCCCTCCACCCCATTAGATGTCCAGAGAACCGGTTAAATCGAATGATTCGTTCGCGAACCGGACATCACTAGTCCAGAGAGCTGGAGCTGGAAGTCATTTGACTCTGCAGTGAGCGCCACTTGAGAAATGCTCAAAAAAATACAAACACAAATCCAAGGTGATTCACACATTCACAGTCCATGATGAACTAGTGAATTTTAAACATTCAAAATTTTTGTTCACAGTTGTACATCTGTGAATTGGGTTTTGCATTTTTGAAACGTATTTTATTAATATTTATTCTTATTTTGTGCACATGAATTGGTTTTTGTGAATATATATATATTTTTCGTGCACGTGAATTGGGTTTCATGCATGTGAATTGGGATGTGCATGTGTGCATCGTGTCTTTTGCGTGAATTATTATTGAGTCTAATCTGCTTCCATAGTTTTGGAGAGCCGCACCACAGCTGCACAAAAACCCTCCGCCATGATGCTGCGCTGCTTCCCATAGCTGCACAGCCGACACAAACGAATTAATTAACGCCGAAGTGAGACACACAGCTGACTTCAGGAGTTGTTATGCTATTGAAGGTAATTCTGAAACATTATTTCTAAAAATTTGTTGCTGATTGGAGTCCCCGTTTGGGTTTGTTTCTAATTTAGCTATATCTAGCTACACTAGTTAGCCTCTCTTTGTACATATGCAGAGAATATTATATAAAATCGTTATTATTCTTAAAATGTGTGCACAGTGTTTCCTAAATATCAATTTATATAACCCATATACACGTGTTAATTAAGATAGAAATCTTTTAGAAGGCTGCACCTTCAGCAGCCTGTGGCTAATGCTGATAGCAAGTCAGGTTAGCTGTGGGAAAATATTACCTCTTCAGTAAACGGATGCATTGGATGCTTATCACTTTTTTAAAAGTATATGACTAACGTGATATTTCATGTTATATCTCTGTGGAGGCCGCGTTTTAGAATATTGATGAGTTTAATTGGGTCATTAGCATAGCACAGAGCTAGTTGTTTATTAGCTTGGGCGCTTTGTTGCATGTCTACTTCCTGTTTCATTTGACATGCACAATATCGATGTATAATTATGAAAATTAAACATTATTAGACTTGTTTCTTTTCTAATTAGCGTTGAAGTGTGTGTGTAACAGGTGTGTTTTGGTCTTGTAAGGAGCTAGTAGTTATCAAGTTACGTTTGTTTTGACAGTTCCAGTTAGCCAGGTCATTTAGCTGTCTGTTTATTTTTACTTTTATGTTAATTATATGTTTGTATATAAATAAACACATTTGTGACCATTTTTACATTTTAAACTTTTACATGGTAATGCATCAAAGTTCTCACTACAATATTTATCTGCAAAAACATTGATAATATTAAATGTCAGCATATTAGAGTGATTCATAGATTTATAGTACATTTTTAATCTCTAAGGGGAAATTTTCTTGCAAGACAGCAGCAACAATACACAATATCCAGCAAATGCTATATAGGCCTAGTTTTCGCATATGCACATTATACATATTATATCTCTCAGAAAATAAACAGGTGTAAACTGTGTTCTTGTTTGGTTTGGATTGTTTGGATTGGCTAAATCATGACATGCAAACATTTTTGTCTTGTTCTATAAATCTGATTATGTATTTGTCCCCCACAGTGGTCTAGGGATGCCCAAAGAGAAATATGACCCGCCTGATTCCAGGCGGATGTACACTATCATGTCCAGTGAGGAGGCAAACAGTGGGAAAAAATCCATCTGGGATGGGCTTGAAATAACTGGTATGTCTCGAAGTAAACCCTTTGATAGATATCTCAACTTCAGATCACTTCTGCAATGAAACTGAAACATACTAAAGAAAGAGATTTTTATTAATATTTGTTTATGTCTCAGGTAATGTTCGGAGTCTCAGCTCGGGCCTTTGGTCGCTCACGCACCTCACTGCTCTGCACCTCAGTGACAACTCCCTGTCACGCATCCCACCTGAAATTGCCAAGCTGCACAACCTTGTGTTCTTGGACCTGTCGTCCAATAAGATCAGGAGCCTGCCAGCAGAGCTTGGCAACATGGTGTCTCTCAGGTGAGCTACTTGGAGAAAAATCTGCATTATTCTTTCCATGGATCATTTGTTCCATTTAATGTGTTTGCAAAACGGGGGGAAAAATGAAAAAAGGTCCTTAATGTTCTCATGAGCGCACTTGATGAAAGTAGATCACTCCCGACAGGGTTTCCACAGTCATGGAAATGTCAGGGAATTTGAAAGTTGTGATTTCCAGGCCTTATCTCAATGTTACAAATGTCAATAAAAGGTTTTAACCATTATCACCTAGAAATCGCTTTATGTTAGTTCAATCATCATAAAATGATTTGTTAAATTTTTTAAATGAAGTTTCATGGATAACATTAGGCACTGTTTTTAATGACCATTAGTTTTGAGCAGATGTATTTGTGATTTTAATTTGATTACTTTTTTAATCTCCTTTTCTAACATATTTATTTGTTTCCTTCTGTTATTGTATCTTGCTGTATTCTAGTTTTATTACGTTTTTGAAATTTTACAGCACATTGGAACACACTGTGCTTTTTAAAATATATTTTGATTTTATTTGAACTAAATTAGTAAATATGAACAGCATTTATTAATTGTAGTTAATTTCAACAATTTTCTTTGACATGTTTAAAATCAAGTGTTGTGCTGGATGTAAAATGTACCAAATATAATGTGCTGTAAAAATAGTGTTGATTGTTAAAAAAAAGTCCCTATTTAGTCATCACAAATATGACATGAAAATTGTGATAATGCACTGGCCAAAATATTTTGAGTTTTTTTTTTTTCTAAGCATCAAACACACAGCTGATTGGTGTATTGTTAGTTAACATTTGTTTCATGGTTTCCAACAGGGAACTGCTTTTAAATAACAACCAGTTGCGGGTTCTGCCATTCGAATTGGGGAAATTGTTTCAGTTACAAACACTTGGGTTAAAAGGTGAGTGGTCAATGTTCTGGTGATTGAGATCCTCAATGTGTAGACGATGTTTCCTACTGATTTTTTGTGTGTATCTCTACAGGCAATCCACTCACTCAAGAAATTATGAGCCTCTACCAGGAGCCAGATGGTACCCGGCGACTGCTAAGCTACCTTTTGGACAATCTTAACGGTGCTATCAAGTGCAGTAGGTATCACATGCCAATTAACTGTTTAGGATTTGTCCATCTCTGTTTTTTTTTTCTATAGTGTCATGGACTGTTGTCCAAGGTTAATAATATTCACTGTTAGTGCAGAGCGATTTATCAAATATTAATAGTATGTTGTTAAAGATTTTTGTGGTGACTTAATGCAAAATGTCCCAAGGACTGTGTCATTTGACTATTCAAATTATTAACTTGAAATACATATGCTTTGCCTTCTCAGTCCCAACAGAGCCACCTCCGTCCAGGTCCTGGATTGTGCTGCAGGAGCCTGAAAGAACAAGACCAACAGGTAGATGTTCTTTGAAAATAGTGGAACATAATTCAAAATCTAGGTACACTTTGCCTGATCTTTTTTTTTCCTCTTTGCTTCACCAGCCCTGTTAACTGTAATGTGCTACAACGTGCTGTGTGATAAGTACGCCACACGTCAGCTCTACGGCTACTGCCCATCCTGGGCCCTTAACTGGAGCTACAGGAAAAAGTCCATTATGCAGGAAATCCTCAGCTGCAATGCAGATATTATCAGCTTACAGGTAAAAAGAACTTATGTAAGCCTAAATGTTGTAGTAAAATTTTTATTTTACAGCAAAATGTGCAGTAACCAATCACAGCAACATCTCAGACCAGCCAAAAATGATTGCCAGTCTTTAAAGTGCTTTAAAACGTATCATAACTGTAATACGTTTAATGTAATTTTATATATATGTATTTTAAAATACTTATGATTGTTTCCCATAATAAGCCACTGATAACCTTTTGGTGTATTTGAGTATGCCTGTCCTAACAGATGAAGTGCTCTCCTTGTTGTTCCTTTTAAAGGTCACTTTTTTTTATTTTTTTTAGTTCAGTGATACACAACAGGTATCCCTGAATAGTCAATGCATGTAATCCCCTACAGCATTGTTTGAGTCACTTAGTCTGCTGTGTCATGCACAGGAAGTGGAGACAGAGCAGTATCACAACTACTTCCTTGTGGAGCTGAGTAAACAGGGATATGATGGATTTTTCAGCCCAAAATCCCGGGCCAGAACCATGTCTGAATCGGACAGGAAACATGTAGATGGATGTGCAATATTCTACAAGACTGAAAAGTGAGTGAAGTAACACTCAAGGGTTGAGAAGTGTGGTGTCAGACTCTGGGAGGTTTAATTTAGTGTTGTTTTGAATGAATGCGTGGAACCGGAATTAGTTTTTTTTTTGTTTGTTTTTTTGCTGTTAGGTTCAGCATGTTGCAGAAACACACAGTAGAGTTTAACCAGCTGGCTATGGCCAATTCAGAGGGCTCAGAGGCTATGTTGAATCGGGTCATGACCAAGGACAACATTGGGGTGGCTGTGTTGCTGGAGCTAAAGGAGTTAATGGAGTTGTCATGTGAGTATTTGCACAATTCAGATTTGTTTTTCTATTGTGACATTATTTTCATGTCCTGTCCTTAGTGTCTTTACCGTAAAACATTGCCATTAATTTGTACTGTATAATTATATAAAAGGTTATACAAGAATGTACACTAGTGTTTGGGGAAAGTATGATGTTATTTTTCATTAATAAATCAATTACTTGGATAAATTAATTATTTTATTCAGCAAGGACACATTAAATTGATAAGTGAAATGAAAGATTTTTACTTTGAAAAAAAAAAAAAAAGTTTAAAATAATAAAAAAAATTCCAAATCCGCTTTCCAAATTCTGAATTCAGCTTTGCCATCACTGGCAAATGATGTTTGATGGAATAAGTTACATAAAAAGAATTGTAATATTTCACAATATTACTGTTTTGGTAAAATAAATGCAGTCTTGGGATGCATTTCAAATGAGACTTCTTTCAAAAACATAGTACTGTATTTATTCAGTGAAGTTTACTGTATTGCAAAGTAAATCTAATGAAATCTTCACAAATAATGTGAATTGCAAAATATAAAAAAATTGAAGTATTTCTGCATTGCAGTAATGTGTGTGTGTGTGTGTATCACAAATATAAGTTTTTCACACCATTTCCAAACAGCTGTGTAATTTATTGTAATATGCGTAATTTTATAGTGTATTTCGCTAACCTAAGTGAAGGCTACAGTATGCTCATCCAGTCAGATTTAAATTGAAAACAGTGTCTTTATAAAATGGCTTATGTTGACAAAAAAAAAGCTTAAATGGCAAAAAAAGGAAACCAATGTTTCTGTTTTTCACACCATTTTCAAAGAGCTATATAATTTATTGTAATATGCGTAATTTATAGTATATTTCACTACCCTAAATGAAGGCTACATTATGCTCATCCAGTCAGATTTTATGTCTTTAATGTCTTTGTTTAAATGTCTTTATAAAACATTCTTTTCTATCTTTCTACAGCAGGTAAGTCTATCCATTCTATGGAGAAGCAGCTCCTACTAGTGGCTAATGCTCACATGCACTGGGACCCAGAATATTCTGACGTGAAGCTGGTACAGACCATGATGTTCCTGTCAGAGGTGAAGAATATCAGAGACAAAGCCTCCCGCAGTCTGAAGCTCTCCTCCGTGTCGGGAGAAACCAACAGCATCCCTTTGGTGCTTTGTGCCGACCTCAACTCGCTTCCTGACTCGGGTAAGCCTTCTTAAAGTCACAGACATACGACGTGTCTTGTTTTCAATTTTGTGCTGATAAAGGTGCTTTTGAGTCTATAAACTACTTTGTTGCTCATTGTGACACGCTCTTGGTCACCTCAGCAATGTGGAAAGCATGGACTGAATCATAGAATCCAGTCATAAAAATGGAATTTACAGCTGAATGCTTATGCTGAATGTCACAGATTTTGGCCAAATTGGAATGAATAAATGAAAAAAAGATTTTTGTTAAAATTAAAAAAATGGTCTTTTTTTGTTTTTGTGTGTGTGTTTGAAATTTAGACGCACTTTTAATTACTAAACTTTAATTTAATCATTAAAACAGAATCCAGAAAAATTAAAACACAAAAAAATAATAATGAAAAAAAAAAAAAGATTTTATTGGGCCCCATTCAGCAGAAAATTCGTTTTAAAGACAGGATTTTTTGGAAAATTTAAAACCTTTTTTTCCTATAGAAGATCAAGCACTGATGAAACAAGAAGGCCAATGAGATTAATTCATTGGCCTTCATAATTCATAAAATCAGGTTGATTTTTGATTTTGTGTTGTCTTTGAACCATCTTTTTGATAGTATTGTCTCAGCTGCAGTAGATACAGGTATGTGTGCCAGTCATGTTTAATGAGTTTCAAATCTGATTGTAGGTGTAGTGGAGTACTTGAGCACAGGTGGGGTGGACTGCACACACAAAGACTTCAAGGAGCTGCGCTACAGTGACAGCCTGACCAACTTTAACTGCAACGGCAAAAATGGCACATCTAACGGGAGGATCACGCATGGTTTCAAGCTAAAGAGTGCCTACGAGAACGTGCTCATGCCTTACACCAATTACACTTTTGATTTCAGAGTAAGTACATTGAGCTCAAAGTGACAGACATTGTTTAGGGTTTACAACTAGCCATGCCACTTTGGTACCAAGACAATTTTACAATATAAAATTTACAATAAGAATATTTCTACGTTATCAATAGTACCTATTTTTGTTCCTCAGTTGCTATGTCCAGTATTGCACTTATAGTTATGACAGAAAATTACTTGACATTGCAAACATGTCACATTGTGGTTTTTCTTGTTCTGCCATATACCATAACATAACAGATGAACGGCAGAAAGAATGAAAACAGCTCTTGTTCTCTTGTTGTGTGATTCAGTGATGTATGCTCACAACTACCTTTTTAAACCCAATTTAGGGTGTCATTGACTACATCTTCTACTCCAGACCTCAACTGAACGTGCTGGGCGTCCTCGGGCCTTTGGACACAAACTGGCTCCTTGAGAACAATATCAGTGGTTGCCCACACCCTCACATCCCCTCAGATCACTTCTCCCTGTTTGCACAACTGGAGCTGGTCCTGCCTTATCCTCCCCCTCTCAATGGAGTCCACTTAGCTGGACACAGGTAGTGAGCCCTTCTGGCCGCTGATGGCGCTGCAGAGTCACAGTTCTTATAAGTTTTCTGAAAACGATAAAACCTCTTAAGCAATTTATTTATATATATATATATATATATATATATTATTAGTTTTTTTTTCTTTCTACTATCTTTATTTTTAGGGTCCAACATATTCCTGTTTGTCAGGGAGTTTTTTTTCTATTTGTTAAGCTGTAGATCTTTTTTATTTTTGTTGAATCATTCCCTCCCATAGGCTAAAATATTATCATACATTTTTTATTATTGTTGGGCATAGCTTGTGTGCATGAAATGTGTCCAAACTGTAAGAGGAGGGTAACTCGCTTGGTCACACATTCAAAGGAATTGCAGACTGTTTTAATTCCTTTTATGATCAGACCTTAATACTTAAAAACCAGCCGTTGTTGCAATTCTGATCTTGCAAATAAGCATTAACCTTTCTTCCTTTATGAATTTAGCCTCAATTTAAACATGTTCTTTGAAGTTAGTTTTTCCACTTGGACTTGGTTGAATTTCATTTCATACACACTTACACAACTCACCTTTGGATGAGTGACCAATGTGTTTTACAGACCAAATTCATGAAGTAAATCAGTCCCAAACCGGGAAGGAGAGTGGAACCCCGAGAGCTTTTCCTCTTGTGCGGTGCTGGAACTCACTTTACATCAGTGCTTCATCTCCTGATGTTTTTATTCTCCCATCAATGGTGCAATATTCGGAACGTTTTAGACTTTCTAAGCGAGGGCACTGTTACACAATGTTTTTAACAAGCTTAGACAACATGAAAAGCACTTATTTGTCTTTTCTCTCTCCCCTTTAGGTGGGAGTTGGAAAGGTGTGAGCTTAATCGTGCTAAATGTAAACCAAATTATTTTAGATGTCTCGATTCAGCGGCACTGCTTTTTGCACACTATTGTTTTAACCCGTTCTCTGTGTTTCTTTGTACGACAGGCTATGTGAATAATTTAAACTGCGCTTGATCTCACTGTGGTTATAAACAGGAGGTTTTTATTAGAAAGGGAGGTTTTATATAAGACTAACCAGGGAGTCTTTTAACCAGCGAATTCTCACTTATTGGGTCGAAAAGGATTTCCCATACCTTTTCATCCTCTCATTACACACATCCTGGAAAGATCTGTAGCACTGTTCTTAAGGCTAGTAATGTTCAGACCTAGCCGCAACCACCTTCTATATTGTATCAGAGGGGTTCTCCCAGGTCTTTGTACAAAATGTAATCAAATATATATATAAACAGACAGATTTAGGCTTGACCTGATTGTATATGAGCCACATGCAAGAATACCTTTTTAAAAAAAAAAAAAAATTTTTTTCTATTTGTACGAAGAATAAATTATGATCCAAATTCAGAAAATTAAGTATTGTAAGCTACATTTTTATCAAAATTAATCAAAACTTACCAGCTTGTATAAAAGACAAAGAGGTTGTTCCTGGTTCTCGCTGCCATACTTTTGCACTCATTGCTCATTTTGCACTCTTTTTTTACTATAGTAATTTATTTTCTTTTGTAAATCTCAGAGTACATGCTTTTCTTGTCCATCCAATCATTCATCTCAAGCTCGCTGTCGTATACATAAAGTGAGGGGAATCGCGAAGCTCCGTAACATGCCATCTGTCTATGTGAAGTCAAGTCAGTAACACTCCTGCCGTTCCTGTATATCATGCAACTGTGTATCTGTTTAGCAAACTCTTTAGTGAGCAACTCTCCAATCACTGGATGTTCAGTAGTTTCTTTTTAGATTGCATTATTCTATCATTGTATCTTTATGTTTCTAAGATCGAAGAGTCTTAAGAAATCAGGTATTAAGGATGTTTTGATCATTAGTTATCTAGTATATTTTTTTCACAAAGTGTTCATAATTTTTTTAAACAACACCAAACAAGTCCAGACTGTGTATAATCTGGTATACTTTAATTTTCATATTCATATTATATGGCCATAAGCTTTCCTGTGTAGTGCCAGTTTGATGTGTTCTTCTAAAGCCAATTGTAAGAGTTAGATTTTGCTCATCTGGTATTTCCGTGTGGGATTTTAATTTTTGAAACTATCTCCATAACCTTTAGTTCATAGCCTTTGGACGAAATGATCATCTCTAAGACTTGTAAATGATGTCTGGCAGTGGTCTATTTGTAGTTAGGTGTTTAGCACTTAATGTATTTTGGTTCACAAAACTGAAGACATCACACGTTCAACATGTCACAGATCGGTTTCTTTCAACTATGCAGCAGTATTGCTTTTACGTCTTGCTATGTTGCAGCAGTAAGAACCAGAACAGTCTTTTGTTATTTGGGGCCTCTTCACAATGTTCTTCGGCGTTTTGTTCTATCTTAAGTGACCATGAGTTGTTTATGGTATTATAGTAGAAATGAGATTTAGTTTTTTTTGTTAAGTGTGAATAAAATGTGTATTGAATATTTCCTTTCTACAAAACAAATGAATTGTGTTGTTTGTGTGTATATAATGAATTCTCCTGCATTATTGGTGTCTATTTTTGTTTATTCACCTGTTTCACAATTTTTAAAATTGATTATTGGGCCTAGATCATATTTGCTGTTCTGACTGAATGGTAGAAGGATGCGAAGTTGGTGCCCTACAGATGGATAATGTTAAATCTGTAGAGCGTCCTGCTTGTTAGTAGACTAGTTTTTGTGAAGTTTATTGTCGTGATGGAGAGCTGTTTGACACCAGGTTTTGTCGGAGATGGTGTTTTGCTTAAATTAAACTGTATGGTAAAGTATATGACTTGATGTCGTGCATTTCAATCAGTGATAAGATTGCTGCTTAAAGTGCTAGAAAGTAATATTGGTAATGGAAACGAAATTGTTTTCGGATTCATCCTTCCCAGACAGAGACATTACGTAAATAATAATAAAAAAAAGAAAATCGTAATTTTGGTAGTACACATCCAACATCCATTCTTAAACTAATGAGAAACTGTGGATCAAGTCTTTCTTTACTGTCCTTCCATCTTTTATTTTTCATCACCTCTTGCTTGCTTTCTGCTCTACCCTTTATATTATAACAAACTTTTCCAGCCTTGGTTTTTTAATACTGAAAACCTGCTGCAATAAAATGGATAGATTAGCTGGACCTTTTTGTTTTTTACCGCAGATCACTTATGTTTCGTAGAGGCCAATGACCTTTGTAGTAGTTTCTTTGTGACTAACACTGTACATACGGTCATGAGCCATCATGTAGTACATGGGATCAACTCTTGTTTACCATTCAAGATAAAGCCAGCAGAGATACACATCCATAATAAAAAAAAAAGAATTGTTTTGCAATATTCAATGAATGTTTAATAAAATCCAAAAAAGGCAGCTCTTAAAAAAATCTCTGGAAAAGAATGGTAAACAACTATTTTCTGTCTGTTCTCTGTGTTCGTAGTTCTAGAGATCTGTACATAGAGGTTCCTTTACACTAATGTATTTTCCTATCTATGGTTGATAATAAATTCTTTCTGCTTCATGACCTGTTGTAATTTCTTTTAATGTGTAGGAACGTTTTAGACAACTCTGCCACTTTGAGTCTTTGTGGAATTGCAGAATGCAGTGTGCTACTTATAGCTCAGGCCACTTTCATTCACTTAAAGCTTTAACAGTGTTTATTTGCTGCACTTTCATATTGTTTTCTTCTCCTTATGATGCTTAATGAGATATTATCCACAAGGTGGAGCCATGTGAACAAAGACCACAGCAGGCCACACAGCTGAGAACACAAAATAGACCTTAGGCTTTAACAACTAAATGGCTCTAAGCAACACTTGAATGTAATCAGTGTCCCTTCATGTGATTTTACATTTGTTTTAGTAAAATGTTAGAGAGAATTATTTAATGACTATTTTAGTTAATTTGTGTAAAATGATAATGTCAGACTGTAACAGACCAAACCAAATTTTAAATGTGTCAGTTTTAAAACACATGTAAATTTAAACATTGATTGAACATTTATTAACATAGACAAAACATGGAATTCTTCTGAAAATCTAGGCCTCTGAAATAATAGCATATGAGAATATTAAAGGAGTACCTGTGTAAAAGTACAGTGTGTATTCGTTTTAGAGGCTTTTAATATTTTTTCTGTTTTAGAGACCGTTTACATTACTGCAATTGCATTATGTGTGTGTGCGTGTATATATATATATATATATATATACAGTATATATATATAATGTATACAGTATATATATATAATGTATACACACACATATAAAATGAAAATGATTTTGTCATACGTTGCTACATTGTTGCGCACACATTAATATCTAAGATATATTTAAATAAAAAATGAATAAAGTGAAAAGTGTGTGTGTATATAATGTAAATATTGTTCACACTGGCAAATTGCATATGAATATGTAAAGTCACTGGTGAAAAAGCATCTGCTAAATTCATAAATGTAAATATATATACTATGAGTAATCTAATTAATCTAGTATCAGCATTGTTGTTTAAAATTGTCTATTTATATATATATTTTTAAAAGCATTGTTGGTTCCTTTGTCAATATAAAAAAATTATCATTATGAGTTGTTGTTTGCGTGTTGATGGAATGAAAAACTTTCTTGGTCTTGGATGTTTTTGTCAGAAATTGAGTTGCTAAGATTTACACCGGTCTAGGCAGTGCTTTCTGCTATCCTTTCAGATGCACAGTTTTTTTTTTACTCATCCGTGGCAGTTTCACAGCATTGAAAATGAACTGTAGGTTAACTTTTTCCAAGCAGCTTTCTATGCTATTCTTCTCTTGCTTCGGCAGCGATATGTCTGCACAATAGAAATAGAGTAGTCTGCCAATGGAAAGGTGACTCTTTACCTGCTTGAAACCAGTAGAGGTCAAGTTAGTTAAATCATAAAATCAAATGGACCCCCAGCTTAGCTCATGCCTGATCTGACCCACAGCACCATGTGAATTGGGACGCTTGTGAGCATATACTAACCCTGAATTACATACAATTAAACTGCCCTGACAGCAGCTTAATAATCATGAAGGTTAAACAGAAAATCAGGCATCATATCTAGCAAAGTATATGATGAACACAAAGTTCT